GTGCAGAATCTGGCCCTGCCTGGGCATGAACAGAGAGGGTGCAACCCCAGATGCCAGTTCCTTTCCTCCTGCTCCTGTGTGGCCCCAAAGCTGTCTCTTCTAACCACCCATAGGCAGGGAGGGATGCAACCATTTTTTTTTCAAAATTCTAAGTGTGGGAATTTATGCAGGGCACACACACCAGAGCAGCTCGCTTGGGTACTTGTCCACACTCACAAACATACCCCCAGAACCCCAAAGTCACTGTCCCACTCTCACACCATGGACAGATGAACTAAAACTAAGCCAGGCTTTTGGCTTCCTGCCACCTGCCTCCCCTCTCTGAAATGAATCCTGTCCTGACCATCACCTTCTTACTGACAGGAGCACAAAGCACAGTTCACATAAACAAACCCAGATGCCTGGAGGTTGAGATTGGGAGGTGCTGTTAAGGGAGCATGGAGCCAGCCATTTTGCAGATGGGAAAACTGAGGCTTAGAGAAAGGAGGTGACTTGACCAGGATCAGGCAGTGAGCCCAGGACAGAACCAGGACTGAAATCTGGATTTAGGGCCGGCCCATGCCTCACTCAGGAGAGTGCAGTACTGATAATACCAAGGCCACGGGTTTGGATCCCATGTAGGGATGGCCAGTTAGCTCACTGGGTGAGCGTGGTGCTGACAACACCAAGTCAAGGGTTAAGATCCCTTTACTGGTCATCTTAAAAAAAAAAAAGAAATCTGGATTTACTTACAATCAGGCCAGGTTCTTTTTCATGGTGTACACACACACACACACACACACACACACACACACACACACACACACACACACACCATCACCTACCACCACCACAGTTTCCCTCAAATTTAGGTATCTCTGGGTTGAACAACAAAGCCTATTGAGTAAAAGTTCTTGGGATATGGCCCCTTGTTAAGATACAGGCCCATCTGTTAGGGGAGTTTGGGGATTATGTTTGTCCTAGCTGGCTTTACCAATTAAATTACCCTGCCCCGTCTCAGTTTCTTCACCCGTAGAATGGGAACAGTTTATCTACATCAGAGGGCTTCCTCTCAGCCTCACCCTCTGTCCCAAGGAAGGGGTGGGGGGTAGGGAGAGAAAGGAGGGGAGTGGTGAACTAGTTATTCAGCTAGGCACACAGATTGGCTTTTACCTGCAAGCACACGCAAGGTCCCGTGAGGGACACACCCAACTGACACATTTCTGCCCTTTGAAGTGGTGGTGTGGGGGCCATCAGTGGGGAGCCCCCAGGGTTTTGTGAGAGCAAGCCCAAAGTCTAGAGAGGAATAAAAGGGTGGCCTCTTGACCTCTAATCCTAGAGCCCATAAAATTGGGCAGGTGCTCACATCTGGGTATGGGTTAGCTGGGCATGGGCCTCTGTCAATCCTGAGGGTGTGAGCTCACATGCACATGTATGTTTGTACACAGATGCCTTCATGTGTATGCAGAGATGCCCATGTACATCCATGTATATACAGAGGAATGGCACGCTATGTCTTATTGGAAATGAAGATTCCACGATTACTCCCAGAATAGTGTTCTCTGCCTCTTTTTACAGCCCCCAGGCCCAGGCCAGGGTCTCAGTATACTAAGCACACTTCCTGGGGCCAGGGGCAATAGATGGCTCTGCTGCTGTAAAATTCTAAACAAGTATCTTGACCTCCCTGTGTCTCAGTTTCCTCACATATAAATGAGGGGTTTGGGTGAATTGAGGTTTGAGATCTCCTCCAGCCCTGATAATAAATCTCTGCAGTGGGAGGAGGGACAGGTCCTAGGGGTTTCAGGAGGGGACTCCACTGGGCTCCAGCCCTCCACTTCCATGGGTACCCCTGATCCTACATAGAAATGGAAGACTGGGATCTGACCTAGCAGCCTGGACATGGGGTTCAGCTAATGCTGAGAACAGAATCCAGGTCATTTAGGGTACCAGAGTGTATGCCAAGACCCCCTTCTTTGGGCTTGGGAAACCAGAACCCTGTGCCAAATAGAAGGCTGCCTGTACTAGGGTAGAGGGTCCAGGTGTAGACTCCTGTACCAGTCATTTCTTGAGCTTTGTGCTGTAACTACTGAGCCTTTGATTAGAGTCTACTCTATGCCATGCCCACCACAGACTGGGTGGGGGGAATATATGGACAAAGACTACGTCCTTGGGATGCCAACCGTCCACTTGGGAAAACACATACACACCAAATTAGTCATCATCACTTACTGTTTATTGAACAAATAAATGACTGTCCATCAAGGTAGCTATCAACACATGGGTAGGGACAAGGAAGACTACTTAGAGGACGAAGGGGTGAGTAGAATCTTTTTGGGGGGGGCAGCTGGCCAGAACCGGGGTGAACCCTTGACCTTGATGTTATAACATTGTACTCTAACCAACTGAGATAACTGGCCAGCCTGAGCAGGATCTTTTTTTTTTTTTTTCCTTTTATTGTCTTTTTCCGTGACCGGCAATGGATCGCAACCCTCAGTGTCACACCTGTACCGGACCAGGACCGGCAACGGGATTGCAACCCTCCGTGTCGTGCCCGCACCTCGCTCAGCCAGTGAGCAGCCAGTCTGTATGTGGGATCCGAACCCTCGGCGGGAGCGCCGCCGCACTCCCAAGCGGAGCACTGTAGCAGTGCGCCACCGGGCCGGCCCGTGAGCAGGATCTTGAAGACAGGAAAGATCTGGATTTCAGAAAGGCCTGAAGAAGGCATTCCAGGCAGGAGAAACAGCTTGAGCCAAAGTGTGGAGGTGGGACAGTGTTGAAGAGACAATGAGGAGTTTGACTGTAGCATAAGGTGCATGTAGAAGGGGAGATGAAGCTGAAAAGAGCCAGAGCTGGATCATGGAGGGCCATGAATGCCGTGTTAGGAGTGGGGGGCTTTATGAGCCACTAAGGTTTTAGAGCAAAAAAGTGGTGTGACAGGGGAGGCGTGTTAGGGATTATTTAATTTAAGTCAGTAAAGAGGTCAAGAGAGGGTATGAGGTTAGCAGGAAGTGGCCGTGATGGGCAGAGGCTCAGGGTTGCACGGAATGAGGATACTTTGGGGACACCACTCTAAGGGCCACAATGCCACTCACTCCTCCCCTCAGAAGCCTCTGGGTATTATTTCCTGGCTTCTTCCCCTAGTTGCTAGGGCTGAGGAGTCCCTCAGGGGTTTCAGACTGGGGCTGGGACAGTGTTTCCTCACCAGAGCATGAACCTCTGGCCTAGCTCACCCCTTGCCTCCTGTTGGGCCAGATGGGCAGTTTTCAGACCCTGCCCCACCAGCCCTTCTCTACTGAGAGAGGACCCAGAACCTCTGGCCCTGGAGATTCTGAGGATGTGTATTTGTGGTCTCTCTCCAGGCATCTCCCAGGCCACTGGGAGAGCTGGGGTCTAGAGCATTAGATGGCAGAATTCTCAGAGTGGGGAGTTTGGAAGAATCTTACAGTGTTGGCTCTAGAAGGAAGCTTGGATAAAACAGATGAAGAAACTGAGGCCCAGAGAGGTAACATGACTTGCTTGAGATCATACAGCAAGTTTGGGGCACAGTCAGGACTAGGACCCAGGTCTTCCTGGGGAAAATGAAGTATGCTGGGACTTAGATCATCTGGTGCATGTAAAAAGTAGTACGGGTTAAAATCCTGGCTCTGGGGGCCGGCCCAGTGGCGCACTTGGTAGAGTGTGGCGGTGCTCCCGCCGATGGTTCGGATCCCATATAGAGACCGGTCTGCTCACTGGTTGAGCGCAGTGCGGGCGCGACACCGAGGGTTGCGATCCCGTTACCGGTCACAAAAAAAGACAAAAAGGAAAAAAAAAAAAAAAATCCTGGCTCTGCCATTGACTATATAGCTTTGTCACCTTGGGAAGTCACTTAGGTTCTCTGAGTCTGTTTCCTCAACTGTAACATATGGATAACATGTACCTTTTGGGGTTATTGTGAAGATAAAACAAACTTATAAAGCACCATAGCACAGTGCCTGGGACACGGTAAGTGCTCCGTAAATGTCAGCTAGTGGTCCGGCAGTGGCAATAGTAGATACCCAATATGTTTGTTGAATGCATTATTGAATATGCATGCACAAACTAACAGTGAGATTTGTGAGCCTCAGTTTCTCCATGTGAAAATAAGAACTCATAATCAATCCCTGTCTTGTCACTCGCTATTCTGTCCAGCCTGGGAAGCAACGTGGATTAAACTAAGTGTGTAATCGTTCTAGTGCGAAGCCGTCTCTAAGTCAATGTTTATTTAGCCCATAGCAATTCCTCTCCAAGTCCTACCTTGCAAAATTTCCCATCGGCCTCACCAACTCCTCTACACTTACAGGTGCTCCCCTAGAATCGGAGAAGCGGGATATTTTCCTCTTTCAAGCCTGCCGAGCTGAGGAAAAATGGGGTGGGAAAGCACAAAATGTGTGGGATAAGGAGGTGAGACAGAAAAGGGAGGGAGAGCAGGAGAAAGGTAGCGGGGAGACCGGAGGTGCACGGACGAGGTGTGGAGCCGAGAAAAGGGCACATATTGGGAGGTGTGACTGTAGGATGCAGGTGAAAGGATACGGGGAGCAGTGGGAGAGGTGAGGGTGCTGGGATTTGTGGCGGGAGTCAAGGAAATGAGGATCCTGTAGGTAGGAGTGGGGATCCTTCTCATGGAGAAGTCCGCGGGTCGCCGGGAGGCAGGAGCAAGCTCCCAGCTCTCGCCTCTCGGGGTGGCCCCCCGAGGCTCTTAGTGCAGCTCCCCGGCAGGAACAACAAGCCAGCGAACCGTGGAGGGGGCGGGGAGGGGGGATCCGCAGCCTGGGATTGGCCACAGCTCCGCCGGCCGGCGACGCGCGGCGGGCGGGCCCCCTTGTGACGTCACAATCAGCTGTTTGAACGTTCCAATTTGTGCTGTGAGCCGGGCCGCAGCGGCCGCACAGAACCAAAGCACCGCGGGCGAGCGCAGCAGCCCCGAACGTCCGACCACTGGTCCCGCCGATTCCCCCGCCCCGTCCCCGAGATGCGGCCCGGCCTGTGAGCAGCCGGAGACCCTGGGACGCTCCTCTACACAACTACCTCAGCGCCGCCCCTGGCCGCCGCACCACGCCCGCCCCCAGGTGAGTCCCGACCAGCTTTGGCCGGAGGGGGCTCCCTGCGCCCCCGGGCACGCCCTGCGCCCCCGCTCTCGGGCCTTTGTCTGTCTCCGCCAGCGGCCGCTGGGGCTGCATTCCCGGCTCCCGATTGGTTGCCACATGCCTGGTAGAACATGACGTCGCTCTATTTGCATATGACATTGAAACGTCACCAAGGCCGGCCCCGCCCCGCCCCCGGCCGGTTGTCCTCCCGTGACCCGGTGGACGCTGTGTTGGGGCTGGGCCGTTGGGTGAAGTTCGCTGAAAGGCAAGCGGGGCCAGAGGGGGCTCGGCGGTTTCATGGGCTGATCCAAAGGCTGGGGTCAGGCCTCTGATCCCCTACTTTTTCCTTGCGACCCGAGAAGGGGTAGGACGACGCTGCTGGGTCTCGGATGAGGGGGTTGTCAGGAGTTTAGGGCGGCTGGGGACTCCAGATCGCTGGGGCAGCACCAGATGGTGGTGGAATCTCTTCCCTCCGGGTCCAAGCTCCGCCCCCCAGGGACTAACATAACATCCTCTTAATCCCTGACTTGTATGCAGCGCCTTAACTGACGTCACTCCCTGCCGCCAAATGAGGGGTCTTAGACCCCATTTCACGGGAGGGGAAACTGAGGCCCAGAAAGGAGAAGTAGCTTACTCGAGGTCACGCGGCCAATTAGAGTCTTGCTCACTGAGTGAGTGACAGATGTATTAGCTATTGGCATACACACAGCAGGAGATCAATACAAGTAACAAGATACACATCCTCCTTCTACTGGGAACCCTATCTTGGGCTCAACACCAAATCGATTTAATAGGGCTCCTAAGTCTCCTCATTTCACCTTTTTCCAGGGGGGTCTCTAGAGATTCAGTCCCCTTTTGTGGCCCTGACCCCCTTTGTCCTCACTCTGTACTTTTGAGTCCCAGAGCCCAATAAAATCTGCTGCCTCCCAGCTGTTTTGACCACAGAAGGGTGAGTCATTGGCTGCCTCAGGGTATCTCCAGGGCTGATGCTATGGTGGGGTGAGGGTTCCCTCTGTTGGCCCTTTATCACCTCCCCAACTCCCAGGGTTATCAGCTAGAAGGGACATGATTTGGCCTAGTGCTGGTGATTGCAAGAGTTGTGCTGCCCCCTCTCTGCTCACAGAGAAGGGTAGGAGCAGGAGAGCTTCTGACTTTCCAGGTGGATGGGCCTAGAGGCTGGACCAGGAGCCCCATCGCAGCCCCTGGGTTTGCTCAAGGATGGCCTGGGGTAGTGGTGGTGAAGGGATCAAATGCTATTCTGGGCACAGCTGCTGTAGTTATTAAAGGGAATAGTTCTCCCTGGAGCAGAGCTGGGAATGTGAGAACCAGGAAGCTGGCAAGGCCAGGAAAGAAAATCTGGGAGGCTCCCCAGTGGTCAGGAGAGGGGGCAGGCACTGTCTGGCTGGTGCTGCTGCCACTTGTTGTGTGACCTTGGGCAGGGAGCTTCTCCCCTGAGCCTCCCTTACCTAAATCTATCTGTAATTTGAGGAAGCCCAAAGCAGTCTCTGGTACACAGTGGGTGATCTGGTAGCTGCATGCTGAATCCTGGTTCCAGGAACCCCAGACCCTTTCATAGCTGGGCAGAAGGGCAGTGACAGCATCAAAGTCTGTTTGACCTGCTTGTACCCCTGATATCATTATATTCTTGGGGATTGTTTGCTGAGGTTTTCCTGACTGTACACTCTGGACTCAATGATCTGGGGCTATGCCTGCCAGTATCTAGTTGTATGTCTTTGGATAGACTAATGTCCTCTCTCTTATCCTCAGGTTGTAAAATGGGGTGGGTGAATATGATGGTCCCTGAAACAGCTCTTCCATTTCGTCTTCTCAGTGAAGTAGTAGGTTCTTGGAAGGAGGGTGTACCTCATCAAGGCCGCAATATTCTCTTCCTTCAGAAGGAGCCAAACTTTATGGATTTTTGGTAACTGAGCCACTAACTCCCTGTAGCTATAGATGGGCTGGGATATGTGGGTTGTGTGGGGCAGACACTAGTTAGGGGTGGCTCAACCTTCAAAACCCTTGTAGATCTCCCACCCCATCCCACCATGGAAACCAGCACCCAGGGAGCACATCCTCTGGAGCCCACTGTGGGTCCGCAAATGTGGAAATAGTCTTTGGCACTGGTGATTCTGTGGCAAGTGTGAAAACATTCCCAGGGAATGCAGGAGGTAGCAGCAAGCATGGGAATACCCCAGCTGGGTTAGCAGTGAGAGTAGAAATACCTTCAGGGAGTAGAAGCATGGACATCCCCCCAGGAAGTTCTACAGGAAGTATGGAAACACCCCTAGAGGATGGTGACAAGTGGCTCTGCAGCAAAACTGCTGACCATCTTTAAGGGACAGGTATGAAGGGTTAGGCTTTAGGGACATCCTGGGGGCCTGGCCAGCAGCTCCCACCCAAGAGTTAGTCCTGAGGTGGGCTGGAATGGGGAGAGGGGCAGATCTACCGCCACCACCTTGGTGTCTCCATTCCTGGAGCAGGGGGCCTCCTTCTTTGTCTTCACCCAGGGAAGGATTAGTTGGGGGCTTGCTCGGGTCCTGCTCCAACCCACAGTGCTCATCCTTAAGGGATCCTGGGATCTAACAGCTTACTCCTTCCATCATCACCTTCCACTGACCTACTGTCTCACTGGAGCCAGGCAAAATGATCTTCCTCCAAACCAGGGATGCTGCCTTTGAGCAGGAGCCTGGGAAAAGGGGGTCAGAGTGGGGGAGGACCTGCCAGAATAGGATCATCATAACTCATCTGACAGACACAACTGAGGCTTACCCAATCACATGATGAGATGATAGCAGTTCTGTGGGATTTCTGCTAGCCAGAGCTTTTCAAACTACACAAGCCCTAGTAGTGGCTCTTAATCTTTGGGGTCAAGGACTGCTGTTTAGGAAATCATGATGAAAATCAAGATCCTTCTTCCCAGAAAAATACACATGGTCCCTGACCACCAAGTCAAAAATGCCTAATTCAGACAGAGACCCAGCAAAGGCAGTGGAGTATGGTGTTTATGGGTGCTTGCCTTTGGAATCTGACTGCATAGGTTCAAATCCCACCTCTGTCTCTTACTATCATGAGACTTTGGGCAAGTTACCTTTTTCTCTGAGCCGTACTCAGTTTTTTCACGTGTAAAAGAGGGATAGTAATTATATTCACTTCCTATAGTTGTTTTGAGGATTACATGAGGTAATATAGGTAAAGCTGCTTAGTATAGTGCCTGGCACATGGATGTTAGCTATGTTATTATGATGATAATAAACAGTCACAATATGGACAATTCGTTTCCTGCCTGGAGAATTCCTATTTAGTCTTTAAGGTCCAGCTTGGATGTCCAGCTCTCTGGAGACCTTTCCAGACAGAGCCTGGTCAGATGTAATACTCTTTCCCTGTCCCTAAAGCACCCTATAATAATAACTAGTTTATTAGTTTATTGAGTGCTTACTTTGTGCCCAGATACTGTTCTAAGCACTCTGCGTTTAGCTGACTTAATTTTTATTAGAGCCCAGAGGAGGATACTATTATTATGAGCTCCTTTAAGTCTTATAAGGGCCCAGAGGAGGGTACCATTGTTGTCATTTGACAGATGTGAAAACTAAGGTACAGATAAGTTAAATAACTTCCTAAAGTTATACAGAAGATAGAAAAGCGTGGATCTGAGCACAGAAAGCTTCCCCATACATCCCTGTTTTACTCTTACCACTGTTCTGGGGGCTGGGGGTGATATCTCCTGCCCTCTGTCCAGGGCCAGGGGTGGGGCGGGCTTGTCAGTAGTAGCTCTTGACATCTCGCTACGATTCCCAGGTTTTTGCACTGCCATAGGGCGCCCCCGTGAGGCCGCTTCACTCTCCCAACATGTTCCAGCGCCTCGCCAGCCTCTTCTTCAGCAACCCCCCGCCCCCCGAAGACCCCGATTGCTCCCATGCCTTCGTCTCGGAGGAAGATGAAGTGGACGGCTGGCTCATCATTGATCTGCCGGGTGAGGCCTGGGTTGGGGGCCAGCACTATGACTCCTGGGCCTGTGAAGTCATCGTAAGGGCAGGTGGCTGAGAAGTGCAGGGGAAGGGAGCTGCTAAGGGACTGGGGAGTTCGCCCAAGCCTACTGGCAAACTGGGGCTGAGGCAGTGACACTGGAAGTGGGTAACAGGGTTCCTTCCCATGCAAGCCTGGACCATCTTCTAGGGGCGCAGTGTTGGGGCCCACACCTCAGGTTCTGTAAGACAGCAGGTCAAGACTCCTGGCCCGTGGGTGCCCCGTGCGCGGCGGGTGGGAATGCGGGTATGACTAACGATGCCCTTTCTCTTCCCACCCCACTGTGTCCGGTGTGTGTGTGTGTGTGTCCTTCCCTGCTGCTCCCCCCTCCCCCGCACGGCTCCCCCTCCTGCGCCCCGTAGACAGCTACGCGGCTCCACCCAGCCCTGGGGCCGCCCCTGCCCCCGCAGGCCGCCCTCCGCCCGCGCCCTCCTTGATGGACGAGAGCTGGTTTGTTACCCCTCCCGCCTGTTTTACTGCAGAGGGGCCCG